GGAAAGTAGTAGGTAACAAAAGAGATGGCAGTGTGTGCTCTGAGAGTGCGCCTTTCTGGGTGCTCCTTGGATCCACAAGTTAAAATTGCACATTGCTTTCTGAGAGCAGAAGGTTTGGAAGGGTGGTCCCAGGTGTGGAAGCAAGTCCAAGCTTGGAGCTGAGACAGAAGAGGAGGTATGATGCCCAAATAGGATATGCTGGAGCAGAAGTTCATGAGGAGCAGCTCTTCCCTGCTGGGAGCTAGGGACTATAACACAAGAGGAGCAGATGGGGATGCGGGGGTAGGCAAACTAAAGGGTGGTCAGCAGAAGGTGTAGCTAGGAGGAGAGGGAGGGAGCAGCACTGAGAACATGGCTGGCTGTGGAGGGCGAGGTGAAGACGAGAGTTCAGAGCAGACTGCGGGACAGGGTGAAGAGGAAAGGTCACCCTGCTGTGGCTTGGTCTGATGTCATGTGTTAGGTAGCTTTGTGCAAGGGGCCAGTGTTCATGATGTTTTCCTCTCATGGTGCAGGCCTGCTCTGTACTGGCTTCATGCTCTGCACCTCCTTGGGACAGACATGTTAGTAAACCAACAGCCGTTGGAGTTCCCTCTCCGTGTGGTGGGTCTTTTCCTGTGTAGGCTTCCCACCTTCCTCTCCTGTTTGCTTTGGGGACCTGGTGACACCCCACTGGCACATATTGTGGGCCAGCAGGCAGCACGATTTTTTTCCTTGGCAGAAGCGCTTCTGGGCACCCACTGCCCTTCCTCCTCACTCTCACTCCTCTAGAAAACTCAGTGGCACTTAATTATATTTTAGCAGTGCTCTCTATTCCAGACTGTTGGAATTGGCCAGTGTTGGAAACAGCAGCTCTCAGTGCCATTTCCTCAGCAGAGAGGCTGCAAACACGGGCACGTAACGGCAATACCTGCCTGTGTTTAGTCCGTGCCAACAAACAAGGGCAGAGCCAAGACTGGCTCCAGAAGGAGCCCTGCTGAGCTTCTAGGGTCTGAGGAGGTGTTCTGTTCTTTGGCCTGTTGTGGGTGCCCAGTGCAATTTCATGCTGCCTCTGGTAAATGCAGGAGTGCGAACTGGAGGGAGTTTAATGCTATTTAGTTTCCTATTTTTAAGGAATAATAATTTATAATTATTAGCTACTGGAAGTTCCCTTTATCATAGAAACATGTATGTGCATGAGAGTTGCCATATCCTGTCATTTCTCTTATTCACAGTATTATTCTATCACAAAATAAATCATCTCTTTTAGCATTTAAAGACTTCATGTGAATTAGACAATGTCTATTGTTTTTAAAAATTTCAAATTTTTAAGGAATACGTGCCAGATAAGCTGACACAAAATATTACTTGGAAATTCTGACAGCATATATTTAGCTTACCACTTTTAGGGGGAGAACTGAACAGTTAAAGATGGACTTACTTGTATTCTGTATACTACTATAGTATATGAGCTGGGAGATACGAACTCAAAGGAGGGTAGCTTTGGCTTTGTCATTTGTTTGGCTGCACATGTGCAAACTGCTATGAAAACCAAACTATCAAGAGATCCAGAAGCATCTTGCGCCAAAGCAAACTGAAGGGAAGCAGCAAATGCATCAGGTTAGAAACGGGAGCTGCTTAAAGTGGAACTGGGGTTGGTTGATCAAGGTTGAGGCTAACTTTCACCCTTAAGCAGTACAGCAAAATCCTAAATCAGCTTCAGGAGGTGTAAAGTAAACCCAAGCAGAGCGTGCTGGCGTGGTGGTTGTGCACTGTGGGGCACTGCTGCAGCCTGGGCCTCCAGTGGACATTTCTTCAAAGCGTGCTGTGGAAGCTCATGCGTTCAGTTGTCGGTGATGGTCTCACATTTTTGTACCTCATTTAAAAAAAAAAATCCATGAACCTGGGAGGATGTCAGAACCTCTAGTAGCCCAAAGGCCACCCAAGGATCTGCTTTGTGTTCTGCACGGCAGGGTAATCTTGTGTGTTTCACATGTAAACCAGTGGCTAAAGCTTTTCTTGTTGTAACTTGGAGATGAATGTTAAGGTGCTGACATGAAATAATACAATTTCTGTTAGTAACAGATGGCTTCATTCTTCATGCCCTTATTAATAGATTACAGGATTTATATTCATGCCAACCGAAGCTTTAGGCATCAAAACAAATGTTGAAATTTTTTAATCGCCTATTAAAAATCATGTTTGTTATGTCTCTTTTTCTTTCTAAATAGAAGTATCTGTTTAGCAAACTTTTTCACAAGTGTAGGCATGTGTGCCTTAGCCTGATTTAACCTATGAGTGTTGGTAAACTTTCTGGGTTTCATTTAAAATGGAACAAAACCACAAACCAACCAAAATTCCCCCAAAACTGTAATGGCAGGCTGTCAGTAGAGGGCATCACTGGTGGGGTTTTTTTTTTTGGGGGGGGGGTTGTTTGTTTTTTTTGGGTTTTTTTTTTTTTTAAAGCCTGCTTGTACAACTCAGCTTAACAAAGCTTGCTTTTACTCTGCAATGTGTCAATATTGATCACTAGTTACTTAACATGTAATAGCTGGATCATATGACCCTTCCTTTTTCTAAGGAAAGAATTCTAAGGGGATATATGCCTGTGAAGTCTTGTGCTAGATTTTAACAGATCCCTGATTTAAAATTCAGAAAAATCTGCGTGGAAATTACTTCCATTTTAACAAAAGAATGTCAAATCCAAAGGATCTTGTATTCTTCAGTTCTTTAAATCCATTAATAAAAAAGGAAGATTATCTGTCCTTTACAGTGAAATAACTTTATGCATAAATATGCATGAAAATAGTATAATTACAAATATAACCCCAGTTACTGCAGAAATAAATTTATTAGAAGGTTTTTCACTTTTTGAAGACAGCCCTGAATGGAATCCAGGAAATGCTGATGGGCTTGAAGGACCTGTTTTGACACAACTTCAGGCTTTTTGTCTCCAAAATGGAGAATATCCATATTGTAGTGATGATACAAAGTTTTGAGGAAGGATATATAAAGTAACTAGTGTGGACTTGAGGAAGCATGTGGTGGAAGTAAGGCTTCTGTGTAAAAATTTATAATGCTTTATAGTTTAAAAAGGAAAAAAAAAAACAGGGAAATTTAAGTTTTAATTAAAGACAGTGTCACATGGTAGGCCCGGCACAAGGTTGTGAGGGTGAGACTCCTGGGTAGCAATTCTCACAACAACAAAGAGATCAAGAGCTCTTGGAGAGAGCACGTGTTCATGATTGAAGTAGGAAGGATTCTAACATGAGGCCATTATTAAAGGAAAAAAAAACTGATGCTCGTTAAGGTGCATCTTCTAGCAAGCATGAGTCAAGCAACCTCTGCTCTTAGTAGTAGATTCTGAGTACAAAGCGGCGGAGGAAGTTAGCCTTGGTTAAAGTGAGAAGATGAAGACGTGGTGGCAAAGCAGTTACAGCACTTAAAGATCTTTTCCCAGTGCAGATAGGAGGGAATACCCTCTGCAGGCTGGGAAGCCACAGTGATACTGAATGTGGGCTGTCCCTCCAGCTCAGCTGTGTGCTTCTGATTCCAGCACTGGTGTGCTTCATCTCTGTAAACCAGGAGCACTCGGGATCGGTGGGCAGGCCTTGTGTTAGTTTGATTTACACTGAGATTCTGTTATTTTGACTTGTCCTTTGCTAGCTTGTTTGCAATGACATTTAGAAAATGTATTTATGTGTTTTATATTGTTTGTCCCTCTGTAAAATGAGCATAATACGGACTTGAAACGTGGGCATGTGAAAAAATGGAGAAACTGAATGGTGCTGAAACTTTCTCGGGATGATGGTGCTGATGCCAATGAAAATGTATTGGCAAGTGCTAATGGCCTCATAGATTTGTGTAAGTTTGTGTTTCATAGATTTCACTGGAGTTCAGGTTTATTGTGAGGAAAAAGAAAAAGTTTGCATGAATCTTAGCCTGGTGAAGAAGCAACACTGAAATGTGGAGAACTGAAAAGAGTGAAACAATACTTGCTGATCTTTTTGGGCCTGTCAGTACTTCGTGACTAAAAAAAGCCTGACATAGTTTTGGGAGACTCCTTATCCCTGAAATTTATTTTTCTTTTTTTCAGTCTGCCCGAGTCCAGTTTGAATGTGCCATTTGTGTTAGAGCCAGAACCGGGACCAAGTAATGCTGAGCTCCGAACAGATTCATAACAAAATCTTAATAGCTCTCTTCATATGTTGGTTTGCCTTGATCCCTACATGAAGCTTATATTTTACATCTTTAGTATCTAATAGAGATTGCTTATAAGGAGATCTAGTGATAATTTTTTATTTATTTTTTTTCCCCCTTTTGTGGTTTTTGTTCTCTTGCTGGGCCTGGCCTTCGAAGCCTGCTTTGCGCTACATGTCTGCCCCCCCTTGGGGATTTTAGGAGTTTAATACTTCTATACTTTGTATTGGAAACTCTTCAGAGAAATTGTCTCTTGTATTTTAATATACATTTTACAGTGTGAGGAGCTATAATGATGATGTTCAATATGATCTTCACAGAGTTCTGCAGTGAGCCAAGTGTATAAGGATTATCTGAAGTTTTGAGAGGAAGTTGGGATGCTGTTGCTATCTGCTACTTGAATTATTGCTGCCTGCAGCAGCTGTGGATCTTCTGTAGCACCTTTGCTGCTATTGCCAGTGTTCATAGTATTTTTTATTATTTTGCAGTTTACAAAAATGACTAAGACTACTGGTTTGTCAGAAGACATAGTATGGAACTGCAAGATACTGCTGAAGGAGAGAGACGTGGTGCTAAAGCTCATGAATAAATGTGAAGATATTTCAAATAAACTGACAAAACAAGTAACCAGGATTACTGAAGATGGAGGATGTGGATGGAACATAGAGCAACCCTCTATTCTGAATCAGAGGTATCTTTCCCTTTTTTATATTTAGAAGGGTGTCAGATAATAAGGTATACTTGAAGACTGGGATTTTCAAAACTGTAGTCTCTGAAAGTAGAGTTGCATATGTCTCACACTTAGCAGCTCTCAGTGAGCTTGATAGTGATGTGCAACACTTGAGGGAATTCAACAAATGTTTTTAAGTTTATCAGGAAAGCTGGTGAGGAGGATAAGAAAATTTAAAAAAAAAAAGTGACAGTGCTCAATACCTTGTTTTACTTGCTCCAGTTTTTGGTGAATGTAGAAGCCAGACTTGAGTGATGGAATCATGAGTTGTCAACTTATTTCAAGCAAAAGGTCAAACACAACTGCTTCTGTAATGGGGGAATTTGTATTTTAAAAATGCCAAATTGAAATGAATCTGAGCAAATTTGTAAAGTTTTATCAGCTGGACTGAAGACCTTGGTCAGGAAGTTCAGATGTTCAGAATCTGAACTAACCTGTGCTAACCTCATGAAGTTCAACAAGGCCAAATGCATGAGCCGGCAATGCACCTTGCAGCCCAGAAGGCCAATAACCGTATCCTGGGCTGCATCAAGAGAAGCGTGGCCAACAGGTCGAGGGAGGTGATTCTCCCCCTCTACTTCGCTCTCGTAAGGCCCCACCTGGAGTACTGTGTCCAGTTCTGGAGCCCCCAACACAAGAAAGACAGGGAGCAGCTGGAACAAGTCCAGAGGAGGCCACGAGGATGATCCGAGGGCTGGAGCACCTCTCCCATGAGGACAGGCTGAGAGAGTTGGGGCTGTTCAGCCTGGAGAAGAGAAGGCTCCGGGGAGATCTTATAGCGGCCTTCCAGTACCTGAAGGGGCCTGTGAGAAAGCTGGGGAGGGACTTTTTACAAGGGCAGGGAGTGACAGAACAAGGGGAAATAGCTTTAAGCTGAAAGAGGGTAGGTTTAGATTAGATATTGGGAAGAAATTCTTCACTGTGAGGGTGGTGAGACACTGGAACAGGTTGCCCAGAGAAGTTGTGGATGCCCCTTCCCTGGAAGTGTTCAAGGCCAGGCTGGATGAGGCTTTGAGCAACGTGATCTACTGGAAGAAGTCCCTGCTGATGGCAGAGGGGTTGGAACTAGATAATCTTTAAGGTCTCTTCCAACCCAAACCATCCTGTGATTGTATGAAAATGATCTGGAACTCTGTATCCAGCGAGAGGGGCACCAGGAATGTGTTGGGAGGAAGGATATACTTCAGAGAGGTAAATTAGTGAGGATTTCCAAATGGATATTGGGATTAAAGAGAGAGTTTAGGAGGAGTGGCAGTGGGTGTGGTGGGGAGCATTATCCTAAGGGTTAGGAAGCGTAGAGGTGAAGGGGGAATGGCTGAGGTAGCAACTTCCATTAAACTTGAAGGCTGTCAGTGGTAAATAGCAGAAGGATTTTCAGCTGTTTCAAAATAAAAACTGAGAGGAAGAGGGAACTGTTTGGAGGGAGCTTATCAGTGATGTTTTTTCTTCAGCAAAAAAGTACTGAACTAGGTGACTTGCGGTTGTGTTTTGTGAGTTGTGTGGTTTTTTGTCTGGTGCTGACACCACCAGCAGTCGTGCAACTGAGCAAACTTAGTGAGGCAGCTGCTAAATGCCGCTTAATTTTTTGTGTATTTTAAAAATTAGCAGTTATGTAACTGCTTTTAACTTGTGGATCACTGATTTTAGAAGAAAGGTATTTATTGTAACATTCATTTTGATTGTTTAAGATGTATGAAAATTCAGATAAACTACTTAGTTCAGAAATGCTCTTTGATACTCAGGTGACTGATTAAATAAAGTTTGTGTGTTTCACTACACCAGGAGATCTGGAGTAACTTAAAATATAGGCAATGTTAAACTTACCATTCTGTGATTAACATAAGTGTAAAGTTGTGTATCATGAAGAAACAAATAAAAGATGGTAACATGTTAAGCTTGACTTCTTAACAGTTTGGAACTCAAGCCGTACCAGAAGATTGGTTTGAACTGGTTAGCACTGCTGCATAAACATGGATTGAATGGCATATTGGCTGATGAAATGGTAAGTGTGAAACTGATTCTTTAAGAATTGTTAAAAGTTTTGCAAAAATGACTTTGTTAAATCCTTTCATTTCCTAGAAACCTCAAGCAGATTATAAGTAATTCGTTTTAGCTAATGTAACTTAAATTACAAACAATTGTTTAGAATGTTTAGAAGCTTCTGAGCTCTTTACTTTCAACTTGACAGTCAAAGGAAGCCTAAGATTCATGGACACTGCTAGTTACAAGTCACATAGTGTCTTCTGATGCAATGGAAGCAGTTTCTGCCACAACAGATTATCCTCAAACCATTCATTGTGATAGTTCCTTGCCCATAAATATGATTGATTCTGCTGTCCAGCATTAAGCTGTCGTGAGCCCGTCTTCTACATTTCTCTGTCAGTTTCAGAACAGGTAGTTAATACAAAAAAAAAAAAAAAAAAGTGGGTAGAAACCTTTTCTGCTTCTCCAGGATTTCGACCATCTCTTGTCATTACAGTCCCTATAAGTTTTGAAATGAGAGAAAAACTTAGGGGTTTGAGGTGCTGTTTGGTGCTGACACCACCAGTAATTGTACAACAGAACAAACTTGGTGCTAAACATGTTGTCAGTTGCTTTTAACCCTGGCTGCTGATCATCTTGTGATGTGAGGGGATGGGGTTGCTTCACTAAGACTTAGGCAGTGTTTCTGAACTTCCATATGTTTTGTATTTGTAGGAAATACCTTATGTGCGTATTTTGTGGTAGATAAGATAAATTTTTAAATCCGTGATACAGAAGACAGGAAAGTGATATTGGCAGAATCATAGGCTTATCTTAAAGAAATCTGATTTCTATGTTAAATTCCACTTTAGAAATAGCTGGAATATCCTTTGTACAACTGGCTCAAATGGAAAGAAGCAGTTAGTTTCCAAGTAATAATTTTTCTGCAGCACTGTTTCAGGAAGGTAAATGTTCGAAGAAGATTTGGGGAATGAAATTGAACTAAAATGAAAAACCTGATAAATGGAAAAGATAAGTCCTTGATGCTCAAATGTTGAGCTGAAAAGATAGTTGAGTTTGGCTGTTATTGTACTTGAGAAGCAATTGTCTTCTGTAAAATAATGCAATTAAACAGAACCATTTTTCTATGGAGATTTATAATATTTAGTTAACATTGACTACACTGTAATTGTCTTACGAGTACAAAACACTTATGTTCTACAGATTGTAAATTTCCTTTAAATATATTTGTTTTCTCTTAGGGTTTAGGAAAAACAATTCAAGCTATTGCATTTCTAGCTTATCTCCATCAAGAGGGCAATAGGGGTCCCCATTTGATAGTTGTGCCAGCTTCAACGTTAGGTAAGTGACAAGCTTCAAAATTATTTGTTTGTTTTGGAAAAAAAATACCATAGACTGTGAAACAAAGATAGTTTTGTGAAATAAAACTTATTTTTCTTACAGTGATACTCAGCTCCTTAAGTAATTTGAATTGGAATGCAAACCATACTGAAGCCATGCTTGTTCTAAATTAATTAGTTCTAACATGGACATTTTTTGTAATATACTCTGTGTGCTTCACAAAAAAATAAAGCTGTTTTTTACAGTTTTAAATTGTTTAGCAAAGTAGTCTTTTTAGTTATTGAATATTGACTACAATTCCTAGTCTTCAGGCTGTGCTTAGGATTAGGTTTCATGGCATTTGAGACATTAAATGTCTTTTTTCTTCTTTGCAGCACAGAATCTGTCAAAGCAGATAAAAATCCTAAAATGATAAGGCTGACTGTCTTTTAGTTGTATGTTTTGATTATTTAATTACCTCAGTTGAAAGCAGGAAGAATATGATGGCATAAAATGCCAGCAACGCTGATGAGTTTGAACAAAAACTAGTTCTCTGAAGTTAAATTTGGTTTTGTTGAATGATTATAGAAAGGAGAAAGTAGCAAGTTTGATTTAGAAAGAAAATGCTGCTTTTAATATAAAATACTTATTTGGGCTCTTAACACATCAGAAAAGCTTCCAGTTGTTCAACAGCAGTTTGAAATTGCTGTTTTCAGTATGCTTTTTAAATACATTAGAATCTATTTTGTAAATAACTCTTAAAAATGCATGTTACTTATACCTGAGGTGTACATAAAGGTGTAAACTTTGTGAAGTGAATCGTAGAGGCTCATGAATTGTGGTAGCAGGTTGGTCCAAGCCCACCAGCATGGGGTTGCCTGGGAAGTGCAGTCTACCTGCAGCTTTCCTGATGCTTTTCTGAAGGTGTCTCCTCAGCCCTGATATCTGCATCCAGCTGGGGTCAAGTGGCCAGAGACCACCTTGTACTGTGGTTTGGGTTCAGCATTTGTGTTGGTTGTCAAGCAGCTTCCCCTTGGGCATGGTAACGTTGCTGGTGGCTGCTCTGCTGGCTACACACCTGGAGCTTGATCGAGTTGTCAGGCTTCCTTGCCAAATCCCACAGGCACTGCCTGTCCTGATGAAACACTTCTGGATGCAAGTACCAACAAATTAAGTGACTTGTTTTCTGAGAAATTAGCTGTCTAGAGAAGAAATTGGGCTGAAAAGTTGAGTGTTGTATTACTTTAAATGGTGGTTACAGACTGTGCAGGTTCTGTTTCTGTAGGAGTGCAAGCTGGTTAAGCAAGTTACTTAAAGCCCACTTGTGGGTTAATTTCTTTAAATATCAGTTGTCCAGTTTTAGACAGAAAGTTTCTTAACCTTCAGGAGGATTTAAAAGAGATTTGCTTTAAAATCAGATGTTTGGTTTAATACTGAGGTGTGTCTGAAGTTATTTAAGAAATAATAAAGTATAAATGGTTTTATTTTTATTTTAATGTCTTACAGATAACTGGATAAGAGAAGTTAATCTGTGGTGTCCTGAACTGAATGTCCTTTTTTACTATGGTGAGGAATGTAATCTTAGAAATGAACCCAACAATACAGTTGCTTGCATGATCAGCCGAAGAAAACATGAATTGCTCATGGAAGCATTGTTTTAAGATGGTTGTTTAAATACACATTTATCACTGACTGTATTTCTGTGTACTGAGTCTCCATCTCTGGAGATGTTCAAAACCTGCCTGGATGCTTTCCTGTGTAACCTGCTGTAGGGAACCTGCTTTGGCAGGGGGGATGGACTAGATGATCTCCTGAGGTCCCTTCCAACCCCTACCATTCTGTGATTGTGACTTATTTTTTATAGGTAAACAAATTATATGTATAAGTAATTGTGCTCATTGTATGCTTAATCCTTTCATAGGATCCCAAGAAGATCGGAGACATCTCAGGGCAGACATTAATAATAAAGTTGTCGATTTCAATGTGATTATAACTACGTAAGTACAGTAAATAACCAAGTGAGATTGGGTTAGCTCCTCCTGACCTCTAGTGGTACAACAAAACAAAGTTTGGATTTTGGTGAGGTGAGAAGGGAAGTGGTAGTGGTTAATAAGAAGTGGTAGTGGTTAATAAGAATTTTATTAATGCTATAGCAGATACTATGTAATAGATGGTTTACTATGTAATAGCTCTATTAAATAATAAATACTGATGGATACGTATTATTTTCTAATAGATTTGCACAGGTTATTGGAAAGCATTACAGAAAGCACTGGCTTGTCTAGTAAACTGTGATTATTTAACAGTAGTAAACTGTTATGATTGGTTACTTCTAGGAAGTTTGACATAGTGCCCCTTGTATTCTGTCTGTAGCTCTTAACCATTTTAGGGAATTTAATATGGTTGTGATAGCAGTAGGTTCATTTTAAATTTGCATTTAATGTGTCTTTTATCATACCTTTGACAGGTACAACTGTGCAATTAGTAGCTCAGATGATCGAGGACTGTTTCGCAGGTTGAAGCTTAACTATGCAATTTTTGATGAAGGTCATATGCTCAAGAACATGAGCTCTATACGCTACCAGCACCTTATGACAATTAATGTAAGAATTTTAGGTATAGTTGGGTTAGGGGGGGAAAACTCCTGTTTTTCCGGTTTTATAGTTATGGGCTGAGGGAAAACCAAGTATTGGCTGTAAAGTTCGTGTACACATAATGTTCCAGAAGCTGTATTATGCAAGTGGATGTAAGTGTTGGTGTGGTCTTAGGAGTGGATCCTGCATTGTGAACTCTTTCAGGGAGACAAGCTCCCAAATAAATGTAATAAATTTCCTATAGCATCATTGTAATGATACTGTAATTACATTGATAGTAGTATTTCAGTGTCAGTATTAAGCAATTTTCCATTTTTATCCCATAGTAGTAAAGACTGTAAAAATGCTATTCTGATTACTTGGACTGAAATGTTGTAGTAGTTAAGCACCTACTCCGATAGGACTGTGCCAAAAAAGCTAGCTTTAAAATAATCTTTTCTTGTAGCTTGTGGCCTGAGTCAGTAGCATTTTGAAAAAGAGAAAAATTGAGTGAAGCTCTTTATCTGATTATTGTGATTTAGTATTCATACAATAATAATATACTTACGATCACTTATTGCAACTTATTTTTTCAAGATCATATTTTCATTAAAAGCCTTTAAGAAGCTGATCTTTAAGCCAGTAAACTATGCCTCGTACCTGCAATTCAGAACTTGTGCATGTGTACTGTATGACGTTAGAAAAGGTATAATGTGGAAGCAACAATTAGCACATTAATTAAAAAAAAAAACCCAACAAAAACCCCCCAAAAAACCAACCAAAGCACCAAAGCAAATGAGAAAACCCTAACAGAGTCAGGAAGGCTTTTCTTAAATCTGAAGTAGACTTCTTGAATAGTCTTAAATTGAAATGTGCTCTGTTCCCTACAGATCTGTAAATGGTTTTGTTGACTTAACCAGGAAATTATTTATTGAGATCTAAATATGTATGAAGTTTAGATAGTTATAATGTAAACCAAGCTCATTTTCTCAGTTCTCCATAACTGTGTTGTTTCTGCCCATATTAATTTTTAACCTCTTTGACTAATGTTTCTTACTGCTTCTTTCCACTTTGGACAAACAGGCAAAGAATCGCTTACTGCTAACAGGGACTCCAGTTCAAAACAACCTGTTGGAATTGATGTCCCTCTTGAATTTCGTCATGCCACGTATGTTCAGCAGTAGCACAAGTGAAATCCGAAGGATGTTCTCTTCAAAAACGGTAAGTATTATATATTCTCGTCTTGAAAATAACATTTTTTGGGTTTTTTTGCTAGAACACTGCTGTTGCTGCATAACTTCTGTTTTATTGGTATCTATGGGAACAGGTAATGTGATTATGAAGATGTAGAAAATGGTGCAATGAAATGAACCATTTAAAGTAAGAATGTGTCATAATGGGATATCCCAGAATACTGATGGTCTTGTTGTATCTGTCTGTTCTGGCTGGGTTTCTCATCAGGTTAGAATAGTTAAAGTAGCGTTGTTACAGCTGAAAACTTCACACTGTAATTGAATTCTTGCAATATTTTCTGCAGAAGAGTGCTGAAGAACAAAGCACATATGAAAAGGAGAGGATTGCACATGCAAAGCGGATAATAAAACCATTCATCTTGAGAAGAGTAAAAGATGAGGTAATGTTTTATCTTTATGGTGATTTCATATTATCAAAAATGGTTTCATACTATCAAAAAGCCTGATAATCTCTGAGACTAACAGTAGAATTTAAGGTCAAATTTTGTCAGTGCTAGTTTTCAGCAGTTTATCTAGGGAGAGCAAGAAACTTGAGCTATCTTTCATTTTTCATGCATTTGCAAGTAAAAATGTGTCCTGTTGCAGCTTTGGGTTTTGATGCTAGTAAGGGAGTAGGTTCCATTGTTTGCTGACTCTTTACAGCTGAGAATTTTACTTAGGAAAGATCACTGAAAGATGATTTGGCACACTGCTAAGTGATGAGAAGTGATAAGTCCTCCACATTAACCACAAAAATATTTGTGACTTTATAGTAATGATATTTTATTTTAGCTTTAAGAGTTAAGGCCGTGAATGTGCATGTGTGAATATGTATGACTAGAAATGTGTGTTTTAAGTTATTTTACTGTCATCAAAATGTTTCTTTTTCATTCTAAAATCCAAAACCTATTTTAATTCTTCAATTTAGAGTTGCATATATAGAGGAAAGGGAAGACTTCATAGTGATCCAAAACGTGTTTCTATGTGTTTGCCTACTTTAGTAGTCAGTGGCTTGAAGAGGGTGTCTCTGATTAGCAAGGGAGTAGGTTCCATGTGTTGCATATACTATTATTTTGTGCAGTTTTGGAGTGTGCAGACCATGTTACTTGATGGGGGTGGGGGGACAGGGGTGATGTATAATCCAAATCAAGTTTTGAGTAAGTCGAACTGCAGACTCAGTAAGCAAAGTTGCAGCCAATGACAGGAGCTGGGATGGGGAAAATGCATAGAGCAGCTTAAAAGCAGGCTTGTAAGATAGTACAGAATTACTGACCATTCACTACAGTACGGTTTTTACCTGGTATGTTTTTATTTTCTCAGGTCCTTAAACAACTACCTCCCAAAAAAGATCTCATTGAATTATGTGCCATGTCTGAGAAACAGGAACAATTGTACTCTGATCTATTAAACAAGTTCAAGAAAACTGTTAACAGTAATGGTATGTGAGGGTCTTGTTTCCTTTTGCTGGATTTTTTTTTTCCATGCCTAAACATATGTCAAATGTATCTGCAAAGCCCTTGTTTTGTAGAAATATCTGATACTCATAGACTGACTGTCTCTCTTCTATGAATTTTTCCTAAGCTCAGGCAATAGGTGAAGTGTCAAATTCAGTTCTTACAAAGTTCTGAGAGATAAAAATGTGTCGGATAGGGCATCTGTGTAGTGCTTCTGAACAGATCTTATTTCTTTGTTTACAGAGAAAAACTCTGATATGGGAAATGTAATGATGCAACTTAGAAAAATGGCTAATCACCCTCTCCTGCATCGTCTGTATTACACGACTGACAAGCTCAGGACAATGTCCACGCTTATGCTCAAGGTAAGGTGATGAGATTCAGAAGTGATCCTTAATTTCTCAGAATTTTTAATGCAACATAAATAGTTTTTTTTTTTTTTTTTATTGTCAGTCAAAAGTGTGTCTTTGCAAAACTTAATTCATTGTTGCCGCTTTTTATTTCTCTGCATCTATCCAGTGCTCTAATCAAGCTCTGTATGTGTTTCACACTGATTTTTGTATCAGATAGTAGAATGGAGAGAACAGTTGTGAGACTGCAGTCATCTCCTTTTCATTAGCTCCCCCTTAACACCTCTTCCCTCCACCCCAACATTTAAAACCAAAGTATTTAGGAAAAAAAATCTTGGGTGGGCACTTGAGTTTACTAGTATTTTCTGAGTAGTAAGACATCTAGGCTGTTCAGAACTAAAATAGGGAAGGCAAAAGTATTGAACTGTTGAGGATTTCTTTTGTAATTTGGCTGGGGTTAATGCCTGTGGAGTTTGGGGAAAATTGTTTCTTCTTTCTAAAGTGTAAAAGAAAAAAAAATTCTGAATGTGCAGCAGGTGCTCTAACAAAGTTGCAGCTGGCTTTGAGTATCTTTAGCTTTGTTTTAAAATAAAGCCAGTCAAGGCTGGGGGGAAGGGAAGAAGTGACCCATTGGTTTATGAAGGATTTTTGTCCCTTTTTATACCTACTCATACCATCGTACTCTCCAGATGTGGCTTTTCTTTTCCTCTTTCTTCCAGGCATGACATCCCTCTACCCACCCTACATCTTGGGCTGGGCTTCCCATGTCTTCTACCATCTATCCAAGGATTGGACCTCCCTTTTAGGGAATGTGTCTTCAGGGGAAGAGGTCTGATACAGGGGTAAAAGGTCATAGGGCTTGATGGGAACTAGGTAATTGCTATGGAGGTTGAGCATATACTTTTTAGTTTTTGGTAGTACAAGTTCTTGTAAAAGCTAAATTGTGAAGTAATGATCCTCTACTATAAACCTGGGGTTGCAGAGTTCATCTTTTGTTGCTTGCATGAGCCATGCTCTGGCATTTGTCCGTGTCTAGTTGTGCTACTTTGTTCTTTCAGAAATTTTGGATGTTATTGTGTGGTGGTTTTGTTTTTTCTTGTCTGTCTGGCAAGATTGTGTGTTGCATTATTTCCCTTTGTTTTTGCTAACAGGAACCCACACATTGTGATGCTAACCCTGACCTTATCTTTGAAGATATGACAGTAATGACAGATTTTGAGCTGCATCTGCTTTGTAAGCAATATTCTCACGTCAGTGACTTCAAGTTAGACATGGATCAGATCTTGGATTCTGGAAAGTTTAGAGCACTGGAACGCATTCTCTCTGACCTTAAAGAGAAGGTTGGTACTACAGAGGGCTGAAACATCTTTTTCCTGTCTATCTAAAGGGTGCAACTCAGTTGCTTTTTTGTGTTGTATTACAATGCAATGTGCTGCATGTGCAGTATTGCAAAGCAATACTGACAGTTTTTAATGTGCAGTCCTGCCTATGCACGGCACATTCGAGACTGCTGAAATGAGCTTTCCCATTTTTCCAAGTTTCAGAGTACTCATCCCAAGTTAACGCTATTTTCTCTATGTATGGAGGGCTAGCATCATCTTCACAGCTCATGAAATTTGACCTCCTTTTGGCAATTGAATAAGACTGTATTTTATTAGAATAATCATGTATGTGTCAAGCCAGTGCAAAGGTAAGAAGAGATCACTGCTTTGAGTCATAGATTCAAACTGGCTTATTTTACAAATAATACATCAGCGTATTCTGAATTTTGTATAAGTTTTTAATGAAAATATTTTGTTGATGGAGTAGGTCTGTCTTTTGTGCATTTGACATGTGATTTCTAGATTGCTTGAGTCACCCAAGTACAAACTAAAAAATTATTGCATTGACAAAAGGTGGGTTAATGCAGCAGAAGTACTGGATATGATATAATCACTGAAAGTCAGCCCTGACTTGATGAATTTCAGTTCAGTCTTTTAGTTTGGAAAATAGGGATTCAGTCAAAGTGAATAAGCAATAAAGTGTTTGTGTAGTTTATCTGTAACTGATGTGTTTTAAAACTTTTGTTTTGCTTTGTCATTTCCAGGGAGACAGAGTTGTATTGTTTAGCCAATTTACCATGATGCTGGATATCCTAGAAGTTTTCCTAAAACAGTGGCAACATAGATATATTAGGTTGGATGGAAAAACACAGATTTCTGATCGGTATGTGACTTGTTTCCTGAAGATGAGAAAGAAAAAATGCATGTGTGCATGAGAGCTGGAAGGTGACTTAATTTTTTTTTCCAATGTATAGAATCCTGTGGTCACTGAGCATTGACTATAGAAGGGGTTTAGTGTTGGGTTTCAGATTTCCTTATTAAGGATGAGGCTGAAAGGTGAGTTTTAAATCGTCAGGCTACAGTCTTAGCTATCAAAATTTAAAACTTGTGTCTTCAGCAGTTCATGGTGTATTTGATTCGCTTGTGTGTCAGCATGCCATAACAGAAGCTCACCTGTAGATAGGCCTTGGAAGCATAGTATATCTGTTACAATAAGCAGGTAAACTCCTATGTGCTCTAGGACAAACCATTTACTCTGTCCTTCACAGCTGAAAATGTTGCAGTGCTTTTCTTGTATTTGAGCTGTGCTGGTTTTCTGCTGTTTCCAGTTTCACGATTTTTGAATTTTTTTTAGATGCTCTTTCCTTCATTTCAAAAAGCTGTCATTCTTGCTGTGGTATTACTTCCCACTTACAACTGAAATCTGTTACTTCTCTTGTATGTGCAGTTAGTGCAGAAGGAAGTCATGAAGCTGAATTCCTCATTCCCCATGCCTCTGTTTGTTTCATGTACTTCGTCTTCCCTCATCCTCCAATTTGCTCTTTGTGTTCTGTCATTATCCAAAATCTTTTTCCAAGCCTCTTTTCATTCTTTGTTACCGATCTGTCACTCTGAGTATGTTTCTCTGGTCACTGCTGAGGACTGTTGGTACCCTTTTTCCTTCTGCATGACATCTGTACTTTTGAGCTCCTTTGCAATACCACTGTCCTCCCTTTCAAAAGATCATCATCCTAACTTCTGTATTCAACTCTGGAGCCAGTATGGTGTTTTCTCCAAGGCCTGATGCGTGTTTTCTTGTGTTCTGCAGGATACATCTAATAGATCAGTTCAATACAGATATGGGGATATTTGTATTCCTCCTGTCCACCAAAGCTGGTGGCTTGGGAATTAATCTGACCTCAGCAAACGTTGTTATTCTTCATGACATTGATTGCAACCCATACAATGATAAGCAAGCAGAAGACCGTTGCCATAGAGTAGGCCAGACGAGGTAAGACTTTTTAATTCTTGGCTTTTCTTGGAGGCCAGCTCTCAAAGGAGGCTAAAAGGACAATATTTAATTATTAAAAATTCCATTTTAAGCAGACTTGTATAAACCAGCTCTGGATTGTGTGCGGGCTAGGTAATTGTGATGGTCTTAGCACATGTTGGTGCCAGAACGTACCTTATTTACATTCTTCCCCTTTTTCCAGTTCTCCATAATCTCGAATTCTCTATAATACTCAAATTTCTGGTGCTAGGAACTATTTCAAGGCAGATCTGAAGGCTTTGGGACTGTTGGCAAAGCTGTTTGTTGTCTTCAGGAGACTTCTAAGCTCCGAAGTGCCACCCTATTATAATGAGTGAAACCATGGACTGTTTTAGAGTCCGTCAGAATAAGCTAACTTGGTTATTAGAATATGTGTAATAACTGGTATTTAACTGTAGTATGGAATCAGGGGGAAGCTGGGTTGTTTCTATTAATGGCGATTTTTGTGACCATCTAGACTTGGCGGTGGCTGGGGAGTGCAGGAAAAAATAAGTTTTCTGTCAGTACAGACCACAGTTGGTCCAGACAGAAAAACTAGAAGCTCTTTGTGTTGCCCCTTTTTTTTTCTTTCCTCTCTTGTTTAAAACTACTGGCAGCTGAGCAGAGGCATGGCATCCTTCCCTTTCACACTAATCCAAAGAAACTATAGAAATGGTTATGTCCTATTTTGTCATTTTCAGAGAAGTAAAAGTCATAAAGCTAATCAGTAAGGGGACTATTGAAGAATCCATGCTCAAAATTAGCCAGCAGAAATTGAAGTTAGAACAAGATATGACTGCAGTAGATTCAGGTAAGTCTGTTCACCTAACGATGTCCACTTAAGTGATACAAGGTTGCTGCAATATATTATTCTGAAAAAAACCCCCAAGGTTCTTGATGCAGACAAGACTTTTTTTTCATATTAAATAAATGAGAAAGATGTATTTGTGCTGATTATTGTTCAGTTTGACAGGAAGTGCTCTCTGAGTCTGACCCACAAATCAATGACAGACTTCTACAAGTAGAAGATTTTGTACAGTTTTGGGGATCTAGACTTTTGTCTGTTTATGTGAAATATCTTGAGATTTACTAACGCTTGTCTTTATTCCTCAGAAGAAGAAGGAGCCATTCCAGCAGATATAGCCACACTATTAAAAGCTTCATTAGGTCTCTAAAATGTAAACATGTTGTGGAATTCAAGGAAGAAAGGTGATGTTCTACCCCAAGGACTCTTACATTACTGATGACCATGAGTTTTATGAACATTTATAACTTTTTGTAATTCCTTTATTGTATTCCTTCTGGTATTGAAAATTTTTAACACCGATAGCATTCTTTTGATGCTTAAAAACATAAGTGGCCCAAATGTGCCAACATCAGATGCTGAATAAACATTATTTTACGGATCACTTCTCAAAACGGGGACCTAAGTAGTAATTGTTTTACTAAATCCGCTACTGCTTAAGATTTGTCAGTATTTTTGTAATTATTTCTACCTCCAAATATATATATATAAAAACTGTCTGTTTCACTGGATTACACGTGTAGATTTTTTTATATGTGCCTTATTTGACAATGCTCGAGTCTGTTTCTGCTTGTTTTGGTTCATTTGATGTACCGTACTGGTTTTGTATCAACTTGTTCAAATAAAATTCCATAGATTAACAAAATGTTTTAATTTTGTGGTTATTGAGGGGGAGTGGGGAGGAGCAGAGTGGGGATATGTGTGTGATAACTTGCATGTTATAAATCAAATAGGCTGCTAGCTAAAATGTTCCATTTGGATTGACGTGGCTTTATCTAGTAGTAGTTAATTACTAATGTTTCATTATACTCTAATCAACAGTTGTGTTAGGATATTGATGATAAAAACAGAATTCCTGCCAAATGGAACTTCCTGCCCAGGTTGCACTTTTTTTGTCAGCCCTTGGTGTAGATACCAGATCTGTGCTCTGCCCATTGAATTGCCCTAAACACAAGGCTTGTTTCTTGCTCTCTTCTTGAATTTTCAGTGAATTTTGAATTCATCTCAGTGAAATGATGAGCTTCAGTGGTATCAATGATGAGGTGTGCCTCCACCAGAAGCTTATAATCTGCCGGCAAGGATGTCATTTCAGGAAGTAGGAGAGGAAGATGTCCATTTTCCTGGACAGAGGAAAAGACTGAAATGTGTTCTTTTGAACTCAGAGTGGTTAAGATTCAGACGGCTGTTTTTTTTAGGAGCTGGGGGAAGGCAAAGTATGGTCCTTATTGTCCTCGCCCTCTGTTAAAGCCTCAGCTGCTGTATGCTCTGTGCAGCAAATGTTCAGCAAATCTGGACCAGGCTGAATCTCTCCGAGGATTGTGTCCTAGAATTCACTCTAGTTTGCAATATGGGGTTGATAGTTACCACTTCTCTATATGTGGTTATTACAGTCAGAAGACACTTCTGCATCTTTTGAAGGAACTTAAACAGTTTTATATGAACGGTAGGGAAGAGGAGTTGGAGTCCATGGTTGCTTAGTATTTCAGCCTGTCTTCAGATACTGTTAGTGATTAGTCAGTGAGGTGATCTGTGAGTTGGGCATCTGTTTTTGTTTGGTTATGGCTGTGGGTATTTTTTCGAACTGTACGTGATTTCTGCAAGTACAAAATGGATGGAAAATGAAAGCTTTTAAAATGTTTTCAGAGTTTGAACTAAACTTTACTTGGCTTTTACTAGAAATCTTTGGCTGTGCTGCTTGTTCCAAAATGCACAGCTGAAATAGGATGAAGAAATACTTTATTATATGAGAAGGGAGAAGGGTAAGAATCGGTTTGTCTTTAATTTCACCTGTTTTATTGGATTAAATAGTGAGATTTAACAGACAACCACAAGTGTTTAATGCTGCAATTAATTAAGGTTGTCTGTTTTGTTGAGCATGGTCCTAGCCCAGCTCTTATCCCATTGTATTTGCATGTTCTCACCTGTTTGCTTCAGATGTGAAATGAAACAAAATGCCTGCTCTGTAGAGTGGTTTGTGTGGTGTTGCGGTTTGTTATGTGTATGTAATCGGTTAATATAGTCTGGCTGAGCAGTGGTTACTTCTCAAACAATCGCATACGTAGACACTTGGGGTCAGGATCTGTCTTTAAGTGCTGTGAAGCTCATAGGTGTTTCGGCCTTTTTTGTGTGTGTTTATTGTAACTGTTTCTACCCTCTTTAACTGCGGATCTTAAGAAATTGTAAAGTCTCCATCCTTGGAAATATTCAGAAGCCGTTTGGACACAGTCCTGTGCAGCTGGCTCTAGGTGACCCTGCCTGAGCAGGAGGTTTGGACCAGGTGATCTCCAGAGGTCCCTCAACCTCAACCATTCTGTGATTCTGTGTCTCTGGCTGGGAAAGATGTACAGGGGGGAAAAAAAAAATAAAAAAATCTGAACTCTGTTGCTGAAGAAGAGAGGAAAGGGTGACCTGAAGAAAGAAAACTCTGTGTCTCTGGCTGGGAAAGATGTACAGGGAAAAAAAAAAAATACATCTGAACTCTGTTACTGAAGAAGAGAGGAAAGGGGGACTTGAAGAAAGAAAAATCTGTGATAGAGCTAGAACAAAGCATGCAAGGAATTGCCAAGGAGGTGGAGACACCACATAGGAAAGAGCAAAAGATTGGACCTTGCTTTCAGTTCTGCTAGTGCCTGGTTTGTCTCTTGAATTGTTAGTGGTTGATTGGTGTCATTCATATGATTCAATTAAATAATACTTAAGGTGGGAGGGAAAAGCAAGTGTGAAGAGAAATACTTTCCCAACAGTGGCCTTTTTCAGCCCAGAGGATTGCCCAAGTTTGTTGTGGTTTAGCTGCTTACACCACACAGTGGAGTCCTCTTGCAAGCACTTGTCTCCCCTTGTGTTTGTGTAAACCGCTTGCATCTACAACTGTCCACGTTGCCAGGATTTCCACTTGCCTGTTTTCCCCAGTGCTGGAAGAACTCACTGTTAATTCATTTGTTCTAAACCTGGTTTCCACACTTCCCACCACTGTCCTGCAGTTTGTGTCTGCTACTTACTGGAAGAGATACTGAGCTGCTGGATGTTTTTGCAGCTGGTGTGCTTATAGAGAACTGGTGCTGGTGTGGGCACCAGCTCAGCTGGGCAGCTACTTTGGGGGTTTTTTTGGGGGGGAGTTTTTTTGTTGTTGTGTTGTTTGTTGTGTTAATTTGTTTTTCAGTAGCATGACATAAATGTCAAGATACTAAAGAAAGTGCTTGAGAAGCTTGAAGTTTGTTGACTGTGAGTCTTTCCTTTTTTTACTTAGCGTCCTTAGTCCCCCTGCCCATTTATCCTCTGTGTTAATTAGTCTGCTTTCCTCCAGATTGAAAGTCTACAATAAACAAAGTATTGTTGAGATTGCATCTCTAGAAAGGTTTATTCATCTCTTCTCCCTTTGAGAGCCCACAGAACATTAATTGGGTTGATCAAGCACTTTATTAGTGGTGGGAGAAATGTGGTTGAAAGCATACCTCTCTCTCAGGCCCTACTCCACTACATCAGCTTTTTTAGCTCTCCTATAAATGGATACAAGTGGTAGATTTTTATTTCATATAGCATACCCATCTGAAGTTAATTAAAATTATTCTAAAATTAATAACTTAGGACTCTTGTCATGCTGAAAACTAAATATGCATTTGTTTTGTTTTGTTTTCCAGTCTGAACAGCTGATCTACATTATAGTCTTTGGTCTTTTCTGGATCCAGGCTGCAATAGCTGGAAGTGCTTGCACTCTGTCTTTGAGAGCCAAAAGCCTGGGGTAGTTGTCTGCCAGGTCAGGTTTACAGGACAGAAGTGTCGTACTGCATACGTCCCAGTAGAAATCAGCCCACGTTACCTGGAGGAAGTGGGAAAGCAAGCAGTAAATTTTAGTTGGTAATCTCAAAGGCCGGGGCTACTAATGTTCTCAGCAAACTGCAGAAATGAAATGTGAATTGATCTGTTTTGTGGTTTTGGGTTTTGTTTTTTGTTTTGTTTTGGTTTTTTTTTTTTAAAGCCTATAATTACAGAACTAGTAATTAGGTAGCAGTGGGAGGCTTGACGTAAGTAAACATTGGTTAAATAAAGCCTTGCTACAAATATTAATCTTAGCTGCTGAAATTTTGTTGCAGAAAAGTGTTTTAATTAGTTTTCAAACAGTTTTGGGTAAAAAAGGGGATCACATTTTCATAGATGTTTTTTCATATTTTCCTGTCAATTGATCAGTGATTACGAGCAGAGATGTAAACAACTCCCATCTGTATTGACTAGTTCAAAGACATTTATAATGTTTTGTGTCAACACACTTCTAAACTGATTTAGAAAATGCAGATACTACTCCTGGTTTGCCTCATTTTTCTAATAGTATGGAAAACAATTTTCACTTTGCAAATGAGTGACCAGTTCTGTGTTGGTATAAACAAAGAGTTAAAAGAGTGGGGAGACTTGTTTCATGGGCTGGTGTGAAATCCAGAAATTCAACAATAGTCGGTGATTTTATTTTTCTGGCGAGCTAATTAGAATGGGAGAAACAAAAATTATACTTACAGACTTCCCTACCAGCCAGTTGCTGTCCCCTAAGAAAGTATCCAAATCTTTCAGTAACTCGGGTGCTTTGTTGGTGAGGATGTCATCAAATGCTTGTTTCTGAGGGAAGAACAAAACACAAAGATGCACACCAATGCGTAAGCACAACAGTCAGCAAAACTGAATTTTTGAGGGTTTCTTACTTGTGAAAAAGAAAGCTGAAATCTGACAGTGACATCATTTGGTCTGACCCAAATTTTAGAGCACTCTGTTCTCTTTGGAAGAAGGAATGTGTTAACATCCAAGTCGGATGAATACAACAAGCAGCAATTAATTAAGATAAGAAATGCAGAGGGAACTCTCATTTGGATACAGGCAAAGGAGCACTATAGAATTTAGGAAAGCGGAGGTAATTACCTGTGAAGTGGGTTAGGTGCCTGGAACATGGCATTTGTGACCCAATGAGCCATGACTTAAGCTAATTGCTCCCTTAATGAACACCTAAGAGCTCCTGGATGCTGAGACATGGTGCTTGGGCTGATGCTGCTTGTTTATCTGTGCTAACAGCCACCTAGCCGTGGCAGGGTGGGAGCCCTGCCATAGATTTGGGAAGAATCCATCTGTAAAATATATTCCCATTGTCTCAAAGTCATTTTTTTGGGACTCTTTTGGATGTTATGTTTTCTAGTGTATGGGGTCTCAAATTTCCAGAATCCCTTAAGCTTATTAGTCTTTCCATGCTGTCAGTCAGTTATCTTTCCTTACCAGCTGTTCTCATGTGAGATGTGGAACCTAGGGTTTGAGGGGTTTGCTGGGTTTATCTTTGAGCTTCTATGTTAGCAGGGGTTTTTTGGTTTTTTTTTTTTGTTTGTTTGTTTGTTTTGGGTTTTTTTTATGTCTGCAGCAATGAGATTTGAGGTGGTTAAAGGTTGAAATACCTTTTTAAAGGCTGAAATCTGCATTGAAGGGTATGGGCGTTGGTATGCTAATGGATGAAGGGTGAGATTTTGTAAGGTGGTGGTTTTCTACTAGCTGTTCCTAATAGCAGAGTTTTAAGGCTGCTTTTAAAGGGTTAGCTGTTCCCTTTCGAGAGGGAAACTGTTTCTGGTTTTCTCTTCTCAGCTGCATGGAAGCAACTGAGATTGCAGACTCTT